AGCCCCGCCAGCGCCGCCAGCAGCAGGAAGGCCGTGCCTGTGGCCCGTGAGGCCGGAGAGCTCAGCAGCGTCTCGTTCCCTGGGGGGCGGTAGCAGTCTGTCATCCTTCTGTACCTACAGGGGGCTGGAAAGGGCCATGGGGCGCATTCAGGGGCTGGGGCAAAAGCCAACGTTACCCCTGAGGCCAGGTGAGAAGGAACGGTGCCTCCCCTCGCTTCCCTGAAGCCTGCCTCTCTTCTGTCTGGGAGCCTTGGCTTCCTCTGGGACCCCAGCCCCAACTCAAACACTACTTCTTGGAACCCAGGTCCCCTGCTCTCAGTCAGCTGAGCTCCCCAGTCCTGACTCCCAGGCTGTCACCACCTCCACCTCCACTCCTCTACCCTTCTTTGTCCAGCCCCTTCCCTCTACCTCAGGGCAAACGTGAGAGGTGGTGAGTAAGGGCACTTGGGCAGATCTACTTACCCAGCTGCGAGCTAGCAGGGTGGGGGGCCCGCAAGGGGCCTGGGGAGGCTGCAAAGGCAAAGCAGCAAAGGTCTTGGTGCCTACTCCTGTCCCGTGCCTGTCAGATTTGCAGAGGGTGAGGCGAGAATGGGGAGGGGCAAGGTGGGGCCTTTCCCGGGGCCCCTCCCTCACCATATTCCTTCCCATCACTAACTTGTCCGGGCATGTGAGGTCCTGCCTCCCAGGAAACAGGAGAAGCTGAAGGGGTGCAGATAAGGTTCCCTGGTTGTGTAGGTGGGTGAGTAGGGACACTGCTGAATCCTGACCCTGGGTCCTGCTTCTGTGCTGATCCCTCCCCCAGCTCTGGTCCCAACCCTCCTAACCCTGCAGCCTGATGCTTTCTGGCCTCCTTGGTCTGCACTCAGCAGGAAAGGTGACCCAAACTACTCACTTTCCCTGCTGCTCTTTCTTTGCCTGTTTCCAGACCCCTGACCCTGCTGAGCCTCCTTTTTCCTCAGCTTCCTACCTACCCCTCTTGCCTCTTGCCGTGGGCCCTGCCCCAGTCATTCCACCCTCAGGGCTCTCATTGGGCTGTCAATGACCGCTTTCAGGGTAAAGCATGGTGCTAAGTCCTGTGGGGTCTGGGGGAATGCATGGAGGTGTAAGGGGCATCTGACCTGGCTGAGGAGTTACACACACAACCATGAAGAGACCACATTACTAGGCTGCACCAGGATACAAGACAAGAAAAGGGGAAAGGTTGCAGTGGTAGAGACATGCTGAAAAGAAGCTTTCTCTGGTGGAGAAGTCAGGCAAAACTTGGAAACGAAGAAATTTGAGGGGACCTAGTTCACTGATAAAGTTGATCCCTCAGTCAACAGCCAGAACTGGGGGTTTTTTGGGAGCCAGGACACCAGTACTGTCTCCATTTGGGTTCCCTCCAAAGCAGAGTCTGAGTTAAGGGCATGATACAGGTAATCCTGTACTCATTAAATATAACTGAACAGAACTTCAGAGACCTGTGGAATAATATTAGAGATCAAACAGAAATGTAACCGAAGTCCCAGAAGAAGAGTGGAAGAAAGTCAGATGGAAAAGGACAAGAACCATATGATTTCACTCATATGTCGGATATAAAACAGGAAGCAACAAACAAACAAACTCATAGACACAGCAGTACAGCTTGGGAAGCAGGAGTGAGAGAAGAGAGGGAAGAGGAAAGCCAATAAGAGCGTTATTGCGCTCCTTCAGTAGGCATCAGGAATGTCTAAGAAGTGCACAGAATGAGAACGAGGAGGCATTGACGCTCCTGTACACACCTGTAGCCTGCACTTGCCAGGGGGCAGACTAGCTGCCAAAGCTGCAAACGAGACTTCTGGGCAGGAAAGCAGAGACTTGCACTCAAGTGAGTTCATTGTCAGTGAGAGTCTGAGCTTCCACACAACTGTCCAGCACAACTGCAGCTGAAATCAGGGATGGGAATGGAGCACCGGAAGCTAAATTCCTGATGCCATCAGAGGACACTCCCCCTTCCCCCTTCACATCTCCTTCATGCCTATTAAGTGGCCAAAGGAGAAAAGTGAGAAATGCAGAGTGGCTGAAGCAGGCAGTTCTGCAGAATTAAATCAGGGAAATGTTGAGCCAACTGCTCCCCTAGACCATGAAGGAAAGAGCAGGAAAGCAAGAAGTTCCTTGCCACGGGATCCTGGTGGTCCATGGATCAGGACCCATCCTCTTCTATGCCCCACCCAGACACACTGCCTCACCTCCCATTTCTCCAAGCCCTGCCCATGATCTCACCCTCAGCCCCGCCTCCCTTTTCCTAATGCGCAGTTTATGGATTTTTCAGTAGGTGGCAGTATGTGCAGCACAAGTCACATACTGTAGCTTCTATACCTAGAAATTCCCTCCATACAAAGAAAATCGCCATCCTCTTACATAGTTACCATTAACCCTCACATCACAAGCTGCCACCAGAGACAACATCCACACAAAGCTTCCCTGGCTTCTGCCTGGCAACTCTGGGCCTTAATCCTTCTTCCAGGACCCCATCTAGGCCCCTCCTCTCCTCCCTCCCCTGGGACTTTGCCCTTCCTACAGGCCCTCCAGGGGGCCAGAGTCCGGCTTGACTCATCCTCCACCTCACTGGGGCTGAGGTCCCAGCTCTGTAACAGTAAACATCATTTCAGCCCAGCACAGCGGAGAACAACCCAGCACAGAATTCTTCTGCTCTTTCCCTACACCATGGAGTACCTTTCTGCCCTGAACCCCAGCAGCCTGGTCAGGTGATTACTGGTCTTCCTCTCCACTCTCTAACTCTGGGGATAGCGGCAGGGCAACAAATCTCCACTCAGCCCCTTGGAAACTCATGAATCTGTACCCCTTCCCCTCCCCACTCCACTTTCCACAGTGGGCTTGTCCAGCTTCTACCACCCACCTCCACTCCATGGTCCCTCCCTCTCTCCCTCGGCTACCCTAATCCAAAAACCTAAATCCTTCCAACTCTCCAGCCACCCCATCCCCATCATCCCCATTATACTCAGCAAACCCCTCACTCCTTGACCTTTTTTTCCAACTACCAGATCAGTATCCAATATGAGCTCTGAGTTTGGCCGTAGGATCTGGACTTCACCTCCACCGCCCCAGCGACCTTTCCGCGTCTGTGATCACAAACGGACCGCGCGGAAAGGTCTGACAGCTGCCACTCGCCAGGAACTGCTAGACAAGGTGAGTGAGCCAAGTCCCTGGGTTCCTATCCGAGGGGCAGCCAAGGGGCTCAAAAAGAGTAAGAACTTGGAATGACCAGCAGGAAGGGCTGAGGTTATGCACCCCTCCCTCTGAAGACTAAAGCAGGGGGGTGAGCCCAGTGATCTCTGCTGCATTTGGGTCCATCTATTTTCCCCCAAGGAGTTGGCTTTTCTTTGGGGATAGGGGAAGGAGTGGGGAGGGTTGGAGGGATAGGATTTAGAAGACAGTGTGGACTGGCAATTCGTGTGACAAATCAAGTTCAAATCCTGATTCTGTCACCTCCTTTTGTCAAACCTTAGGAAGTTATTTAACCTATAAAAATGTCAATTTCTTTCTTTTCTGAATTTTAGAGGATATTTATTAAAGCTGGGGATGTGAAATAAGAAAGGCTTGGGGAAATGAGCCTAGGCTGGTCTGCTTTGGCTCACTAAGAAGTCAGAGAAAAGGGGGCCTTGGGGACAGGTTCAGGGGGGTTCCCTGGGATGAATTGCCGCTGCCCATTGCTGCCCTGTTTGCAAGCCTGCTGGGGTCCCTTAGAGTTTAGGACAGTGATGGCGAACCTATGACACGCGTGTCAGAGGTGACACGTGAACTCATTTTTTTGGTTGATTTTTCTTTGTTAAATGGCACTTAAATATATAAAATAAATATCAAAAATATAAATCTTTGTTTTACTATGGTTGCAAATATCAAAAAATTTCTATATGCGACACAGCACCAGAGTTAAGTTAGGGTTTTTCAAAATGCTGACACGCTGAGCTCAAAAGGTTCGCCATCACTGGTTTAGGAGATGCATGACTCTTGGGAGAGTGGGGGGGAGAGGGGGGCACCAGAGTGCTCCTGGGAGGGAGAGCACCCACTGGTGCCTTCATTTTTGAGGGGTTTTTAAAGGTTGGATGTTTAGGGGAGATCTTAGGGGCAGATCTCAATAGAATATGCATCAGCTTTATGTTGATCTACCAAATTGAGATTTATTCTCTTAACTTCATCTGCCCTTGGGTGTGGTTGGCAAATGGCACTAATTGAATTTGTCTCCTTAAGTAGGGTGATTTAAGCTATTTACCCTCTGGTTGGGGAGAAGTCAAAATGTCAATTTCTTCATCTATAAAAAGGGAGTAATAATACACCTCCTTGGATTGTTAAAGAAAGTAAAAGAGGATAGTGTATGTAAAGTGCTACCTGGCACTAGTAAAGACAAAAAGATTGTCATTATTACTGAAAATGGCTCTGGAGAACTCTATGTAGGGAGTAGAGGAGCGAGGTGGGGGATAAGATTCCATTGCATCAGGCCCCATCAGCATAATGCCTTATGCCCATTCCCAAAGGATGGACTTCAAGGGAGCCTGGCTAGCTTTCCAATTCCTAATCAGGAGTGGCTTGGAGGGAAGCAGGGGGAAATAACAATGACATGGTAGGAGCAAATAGGAAAAAAGGTCAGCTCCTAGTGAGGGTCCCCCAGTGAAAGAACACTGAGAGCTGGAGCTGTTTGAAGGGATGGCAAAGCACCAGGAAATAGAGTTGGGATATCAACCAGTGTCTTGAGCCAACCAGTGGATGCTGGGCAGCTGGAGAGGGAAGGCATGAGACAAGCTCTGCCATTTCCCTCCTGCTTCTTGCCACTGGGCAGGCACTGGAGACCCTGCTGCTGAGCGGAGTGCTAACCCTGGTGCTAGAGGAGGATGGGACTGCCGTGGAGAGCGAAGACTTCTTCCAGCTGTTGGAGGATGACACATGCCTGATGGTGTTGGAGTCTGGGCAGAGCTGGAGTTCCAGCAGGGTGAGGCCTGTACTGGGCTGTTATAGGCCACCAATCCTTTCTCTCTCTCCCAGGCCTCTCCTCCTGCCTAACCCTCATCTTGAGGGCAGGAGTGATGAGAGAGGTAAGGAGTTTTTAAGGACACCTTATGGTGGACTAACAGTCCAGGCAAGGGTGGGTCTGTCCCACTACTGATGGGGATTGATGGTGGATGTGAGGGACCATTGCACTCATGGGGGTGTTCTACAGAGTGGGATGCTGTCCTATGGCCTGGGCCGGGAGAAGCCCAAGCACAGCAAGGACATCGCCCGCATCACCTTTGACGTGTACAAGCAAAACCCTCGAGACCTCTTTGGGAGCCTGAACGTCAAAGCCACATTCTATGGGCTCTACTCCATGAGTTGTGACATTCAAGGACTCGGCCCAAAGAAAATACTCAGGTCAGAGACCAAAATGTTTTACTTCCCCATCCCCATAGTTTCAGTCCCATAATTCCTTCTCCTGCACTCACCTAACCCATTAGCTCTCAATTATGGAGAGCCCCCAACCCTCACCCTCCCCACCAGCTCTATGGCTTCCTCCTGGCCATCTGACTGCCTCTTGTCTCTGCCCTTCAGGGAGTTCCTCCGATGGACCTCCACACTGCTGCAAGGCCTGGGCCATATGCTGCTGGGAATTTCCTCTACCCTTCGCCATGTAGTGGAAGGGGCTACACAGTGGCAGCAGCAGGGTCACCTTCATCCCTACTGAGAAGGGGCTCGGAGCTTCTGCCCCTAGAGATGGCTGTAGGGACTGTGACGACATCCCGTTTAGGGACCCGCAGATAGTGCAGACTAGATAACTCACCTGGTTTTCCCACTGCCCTCTGACCCCATCAGCATAGTGCCTTACACCCCTAGCCTATACCCATTCCTGAAGAATGCTGTCCCTTCTTAGCCATCTTTTCAGCCTCCCACCTACCCTGAAAGCCACAACCTTGCCCCAGGCATCTTGACAGCACTCTGATTGCTGCTGCCTCTAGAGTTCTGACAACTCCTCCTCTCCCTGAGCTCCCCAGCGCGCTGAAGACAGCCCTCTTAAACTTTACCTTGAGATCTCTATTTCTCCATACCCTTCCCCCCCAAGAATAACAAAGACATTTCCAATACAAATATAAAAATGTTTACCAATAAGACTTTTGACTTCAATGACTTCGATTTAAATTAGTAAGGGGACAGGATAGATACTCCCTTTCCTCCTCCCCCATCAACACCCAGTCCCAGATCTCAAGGCCTCAGTCTTCAAGAATTGAGTTCAAAACCCGCCTCCGCTTGGCCACTGCCCCCTGTTGCTGTTCCCAAGCTTCTCGACGCTTCAGGAAGGTAGTCAGGGCCACATTTCGAGCCACATGGTGGCCAAAAGGGTCTTTTATCAGCTCTTGGTTCCGCTCTCCTGCAAAGGGAACCATTCATGTTCAGTATCAGCATGCAGTCACCACCTATGCTTGAAGGGACTCTACTTGGGGTGAAGGTCTCTCCATTTTACCTGGACCCTGGGTCTGACTTGAGATAGAGTTAACCCCTCATTCTCCAAAGAACAAACTGGGAGGAGGGGTAAGAACACAGAACTGCACAATCAACAGAGGGAAGGGGAGAGCAGACTGCTAAGCACCATGGCCAAGTCACCCTTTGCAACTGAAGTCTCTGCTGAATTTAAATCCATCCCCCAGCCACCCGGCTATTTGGAGTAAGGAAAGGGAAGTTTGGAGGTCCGAGAGACCTGCTGGTACTCACCCAGCTCAGCAGCAATTTCCTTCCGGGCCCCCAAGGCTGCTCCATTCCAGATGGCATCTAACACACGGCTGCCATGGCGACTGCAAGCCAGAGCCACATACTGTCCCTGCATTGAGACAGACAAGGTAGGTCCCTCTAGGGCAGTTCTTGAAAATGTGCTGGGGAGGGCAGGAGGGAATGGAGTTTCCGTTTAAAGACTGAGTCAAAAGAGTCTAGGAAAGACAGTCCGGGGGAAGCTCATGTTCTCTAAATAGATAATGGCAGAGGAATCAAAGCAGAAGCCAGAGTCTAACCTTTAGGGTCTTGAGCACACGGCGGCGCTGCTTGCGCGTCACAGAAGGGCTGGTCAGGACGGCATCAAGCACATGGGAACCAGCAGGACTTTGGGCCAGGGTCAGAAGTTGTGGTCCCGTCAAGGCACCCAGACTTCGAAGTATAAGGCCAGGAGTGGAGAAGTGCAGCAGATGCTGGAGCAGTAGAGATCCGAGGACTGTCACTTCTCCCAGGGCCCTGGCTGTGCCCATTTCAACCTGAAGACAGGGATAGGAAATCAGGAGGTAGCCACCAAAATGCCACCTCCACTTGGATGAAGCCAGAGATCTCACCACCTTCACCTCCGTGGTGAGAGGCTCCCTAAGCCCCGGGAGACCTGGTCCCCAATCAGTCACTGGCTTGGCCTTTCCCCTACCTCACCTGGTGGTCCGCAGGCACTGCCCCCTCCTCCTCCACCAGTCCATAGTACACCTCATAAGCCATCAAAGTGGCAAAGAGAGGCACACAGGCCACTTGCCGGGAAGAGGGCTCTGCACAGTGGAATGCCTAGATGAGAAGACAAAACATAATGAATCTGAGAACCGATTTTAACCCTGAATTTCTAGACTAGGGAAAGCATTCAGGAGTGGTGAGAATGCCTTAACTTCACAAGAATATAAGCTGCATGAGGACAGGATCTCGTCTGCCCTGCTGTATCCCCAGCCTCTATACATATAACAGGGGTCAATAAATATTTATTCCTTCAATAAACTTCTCTCTTTGTTCTGGGAGACAATTTTTCATTCTAGGGCTATGAGATGGCTTTGGCCTCATTTCCCCTTGTTATCTATGAACTCCCTGAGCATTAAATCTCTTGGGGCCAGAGATACAATGACTAAAGATTCGATAAGTCTTAAGAGACAGAATTTGAACCAAGGGCATAAACGGGTTGCAAGGAACACCCACTCACCTCTAACAACAGCTGCAGAACCTGGGCTTGGTGGGTTCCAACTCTGCGGCAGGCTCCCACCAGGGCAATGACTACCCCTGGGTGACCCTGTGCCAGCACAGCTTCCAGGGCAGGACTCAGCTCCTCAAATACGGGGGACAGCTGAGGGGAGACATGGGGTAAAGAATCTTTGGCATTCTGGTAACTGTGGGCTAAGTTATTCAGAGAAATCTTTCTGCCAAAAACAACTAAAGATGCTAGATAAGACAAAAAGCATTGCCAATGTCAGGACTTTGGTTTGGCTGGATAAGAAAGGTCCAGAACAAGGGGGTAGTCTTAGAGGACCTGCCTCACATGGAGAAGGGACTTTAAATTACCATCCTGTCAGGGTAAAGGAGAATTCAAATCAAACCTTCCACTCTAACTCCCATGAGTTCCCAAGGAAGTGTGCCCGGGCACTAAGCAGCAAAGGAAAAGAGAAGCTACGGCAACAGCTCCAGTACTCATCTGGATTTGTAGCCAAGTGCCCAGTCTGGCTGGGCCATGGACCCTCAAGCTGCTAACCTGGATTAAGCCAGTCTCCTGTTGGTATTGGCGTTTGAGAGAAGCCAAAACAAATCCTTTCTGGGAAGAAGACACCTTCACCCTATGCTCTGGGAAACCCCCAGGAATAACTTTGTAAGGGGAAGAGCCAGCACACAGTCAGAGATAGGCACACCATACAATAAGGCCCAATGAACAAGTACTAGTAGAAGCAACAGTGTACAGAAACAGACCCAGCCAAGTTCCCGACTCACGAGCTCAGGGGTAGTGACAGCATCTAGTAAACGCTGCAAAGGGAAGTTGGCAATAGGATGTGCAGCCATGGTCTGCAGCTGCCCTTGGAAGTGATCCTCAAAAAGGCTCTGGAGCCTCGGGGGTTCCAACACCAGCAGCACCTGCTCCAGAAGTCTGGAGCTCGTCTGATCCCGCAGAAATAGCAGTAGGGGGCTGGAGACAAGAAGGTAGTTTTAACTCCACTCCATCAAAAATACCTACACACCTCATTTATTATACACACCCCATCAATCCTGACCAACCCTGAGGCCAGACCTTACCTGCCATCTGCTGAGGAATTGCGGTTACTCAGATAGTCAATCACAGCATTACAGAGGTGGGCACACAACTGGGGCACTTTGCGGTGTAAGATCTGTAAGGCCACTTGAAAGCAGAAACTGGAGATCTTGTCAGTGATAAACACTGTTGTGAGAGAGCAGAAATAATAAAAGCAGCTTTCCCAAAATCCAGACGACCTGTACAACCTCAAACAACAAGGTACAAGGGACCATGGAAAAAGGGTCTATAAGAGTCTTTGCAACACAAATCAGATCAGATGTGAAAAGAAGACTGATCTAAATAAGGGCCTTACTTGAAGATAATCACCTCCAGAAAAGTAGATTCTAGACCAGGGGTGGGCAAACTTTTTGACTCGAGGGCCACAATGGGTTCTTAAACTGGACCGGAGGGCCGGAACAAAAGCATGGATGGAATGTTTGTGTGAACTAATATAAATTCAAAGTAAACATCATTACATAAAAGGGTACGGTCTTTTTTTTTTTTTTTTTTTTTTAGTTTTATTCATTTCAAACGGCCGGATCCAGCCCGCGGGCCGTAGTTTGCCCACGGCTGTTCTGGACCCTCCTCCTACTTCCCTCCTTACCAGCAATGTCCTTCAGAAAGCAGGAGCTCAGGTCCTGAAGACAATTCAAGAAGGATTCAGGAACCTCAAAATCAGTTGGTTTACATTCCCGAGTTGGAGTTCTTTGTGCTTCTGAAAGAAGATCAAGTGGCAAGACCACAAAAACACCATGCCAGAGGGAGAAGAATTCCACAGGTCAGGAATTTTCAACCTTTTCCATTTCATCGCACCCATAAACGAATTACTAAATTCTGCAGCACACCAAAAAAAATGTATTTTGCCAACTGACAAAAATATAAGTTTTGATTCATTCACACTGGACAGCTATTGTTGTGTTAGGTGGTGCCTTTTTTTATTTGACAATCTAAGGGAAAAGAGGTCAGTGCCCCTGACTAAATAACAGGTATCACATGTTTTAAATATTCTTGCAGTGTGTCACAGCACACTGGTTGAAAATTGCTGGCAAAGATGAACAAGGGTTTACCTTAGAAATGCAGAACACAACTGAATTTCTCTTCTCATCTAGATGATGGAATTGAGACCACATTTCTGTTTCAATTTGTCTGAGACACTTCAACCAGCTTTCCCATGGACCATGGGAGATAGTCCAAACTCCTTAGCCAGAAATTCAAGATGTTCCCAAAATCAGGCCTTATCTAAATTCTCTAACCTTATTTCCCAGTTTTTAAAAATGTAGGTCACTGCCTATGAATGAATCACGAAATCAATTTCATGGGTCTCAACTAGCACCTTTGTAATGGAATAGAACAGAATAAAAAAGGAAAGAAAATATTAGAGTGGGTTGCATGTAGTAAGGGTATTATTTCCTGATCTTTTGCTTACATCCAGTATGTGTCTACATACACATGTACATTGAGTCATGGTTAGCTTTCCCTAAACACACCCTGCCTTGAGGCCTCTGTAGCACACTAATCTTTGGCCTGCTAAGCCCCGTCCTAACTTCTGTTAGTTCTTCAAGGTCGTGAAGACTTACTCTTCTGCCACCATCTCCTCCTGAACTTCCTAAACTCTCCTTTCCTCGCGGCCCACTTCCCTCTCCTGTAATACTTACCAGGTGACCGGGAGCCCCGGTGTCTGGCTCTCTCGGACTCCAGAAGAGTCCCTCCTAACACCTGCAGCAGAGTTCTGACCACGAAGCTGCCATGTGTGTCTCCACAGTAGAAAAGGAAATCATCACACACCTCAGAGGCTAGTCCCAGCACCAGCTCCTCCAGGGTCTCCAAGGGAGGCGCCTCCTCCTCCTCCTCCTCCGAAGCCTCCTCCTCCGCACAGCTCCCCAACAATCGGGGCAGCTGCTGCAAAGCGCTCTGCAATACATGGACCCCGCACCGGTGACAGGCCACAGAGCGCAAGCTGGGGCGCAGAGCAGCCAATACGCCACAAAGAGGTTTCAGGGGGCTGAACCCCAACAGTTCCTGCAGCATCTCACTGCCAGTCCTGTTTGTGGCCAAGGCGAGGGCCTGAGCCTCCACTTCCTTCAAAACATTGTGCACCATCAGC